AAGGGATATTGAACTGGTGAGGATTAATTTTTACATTTTTTTTTAAATCATCGGATCAATTAAACATTTCTTATGATGTGCATGTAACCAAAACTGAGAGACCTGCCCATGCGAAGCATCATTTTCAAAATGGCATTTCAGAAAAGCTTACAGAGGTGTCCTCTGACATGCTTAGGGCAACTGAGGTCAGAAGTGGTCGTTTTGCTTTCCTAAATGGGAGAAGTTTTAGAAAAAGAAGGTCCTTTTGGGCCTTAATGTGAAGGCGATCAAGAGGAAAGTAATTTTAGTGTCTTTAGAACACGGGAAGGACTGAATAAAACAGAAGAGGCTTTGAAAATGCCAACACTGCAGAGTTAACAGCAGCTAAAATGTTTATTCTCAGTGATGGTTCTCAGCAGAAACAGCAGTCTCAGGGCAAACCAGGTGGGCACCTAGCCACCTTGGAAGCCGATGTTTAGATTCAAACGTTCTGAAATATGTTAAAAGCTTCCAGTGAAACCTGAAGTGAAGAAACAGGACTGTTTCCACAACACATTTCCACCCCCCACCGGTACCAGGGACAGAACTCAGGACCTTGCGCTTGCCAGGCAGGCATGGCACCTCTGAGCTACATGCCTGGCCCTTCAGAATATACTTCTAAGAGTTATGCCTTCTAAACTGTCTTGAGTCCATGATGTAAATGCACATGTGGAGACTCTACGCCAATCCGTAGCTTTGCTTTGAAAAAATCTCATTCATTCACTCATTCATTCATTTTTGCGGTACTGGGGTTAGAACCCATGGCCTCTCATATGCCAGGCACGTACCTGACCACTAAGCTACACCCCCAGTCAGGAGCCCTTCTAGAAGCTGTCATATGGATACACTTAATGCACCGCTTTCTAAAATGTCAGAATGCACACTGTTGTTTTCTACAGGAGTATCTTTTAGAATTCAGCATTTCCAACTGTGTTGCTCTGTCTCAAACTGGCTCATGTTTTCTTGAATGAAGTCTTCTTACCCTCTACTCTGCTGCCCGTCACAGCTCTGAGGGCACCCACACAACACCCTTGTACAATGTATTTGTCAAGAAAACTTATTTCATCGCCTCTTTTTGAGAAGATAATGACATTCCTAAATAACTGTCCTTTTAACTAGAGAAATGTTTTTTGTTCATAAGAATTTGCCACTATTTCATTGCTGCTGGCTGATGGACGCCCTTAAGAGTAGTTTCTACCTATGGACTGATAGCATATGTGTGTGTGTGTGTGTGTGTGTGTGTGTGTGTGTGTACTGTAACAATACACAATGTCCTGTGGATTGACATTCATAGGTGAGATTTCCAAAGACAGAATTTTTCTATCACTGAGGCTGGGAGAGAGGAACAAGGACGTCCTGGTGCTTAATTCTGTCTCTCGGTAGGGAGAGAGTGGTTCAAGCCTTTTCCACCCTTCTCTCCTCAGCTTTACTTAGAACTCAGTATGAGATCCTTCATCTCCTCCCCTAATCTCATTTTATTGACAGAGAAATCCACGCAGGCGGAGTCCAATCCCCGAGAGTGCCTTGGTCAAATAATCTGGGAACTGTTAGCAAAACGTATAGAAAAACAAATCGACGGGCTCAGTCTTCATTCTTCTAACGAAAATTATAGTTTTTTCAAAACATATGTTGGTTTCTGTTTTTTGTTTGTTTGTTGTTGCTGTTTCCTGAAGCTTCAAACATGTACCACTGTCTGAGATGCCTACTCACTCCAGTGATGCTACAGAATCCCATACATTTGCTTTTCTCCATGCTTGGATACAGCGTGCCCAGACACACACACTCATCACAGAGCCATCTAAGGGCTACTGTGACCCAGCACCTGTGCTCAGACTAGGCCGGTTACAGGATCCCCAGGATCCCCGGGTTCTAACATGAAAAACGAACCAAGGGAAGATTATTCAAACACAGTATCTCAACACTTGTTTTTCTATATCCCAAAATATGAAAGCTGACATACAGTTCTACCTAATGAGTGTGAAAGATAGGGGCACCTCGCAGTAATGAGAAGACTTCGAATCAGCTCTGGAAGACAGGAAACACAATGCCCTTTAGTAAGACTCGGTTTACAGAGATCATCCTACCCTCATTGGCTCCTTTCAGAACTATTGATCCTGAAACAGATGCACAGCTGACCAATAGCATGGGAGAGCATACATGCGTCTGGCTGTTCAAGGTTCTGCTGAGGGTGTTTATAAAATATTTAGATATTTTCTTTCCTTTGCAGGTGGTTAAGTCACCTGGGATCAAAAAACAAAAGCAAAAGAATATAGCAACAGTTAAAGCTTTTTGAAACCTTTCTCCCCCAAATTTCTGAGGGGAGTTTAAGCCAATCATGCCTGTGGTTGGATGGACGATTTTTTGTCTTCAGTACTGGGGATGAAAGCCAGGGTAAGCTCTCTACCACTGAGCTGTACCCCACCCTTAGACGGATACGATGCAATTAACTCTAAGAAAACAGGTCATTACTTTTATTTTGCTTTACTACAACATGTTAAAAGGAACCAAGAGTCCAGAAGAGAGTAGGCTATTACAAAAAACATTCCCCCTGGCCCCAAAATCACTGGGTTTGGGCTGTGTACTTGGAAGCTCTAGTATAAGTGAGTTTTGTATCAGAACAGAAGTGATTTTAGCCCCTGAAATCCAGACCTTTGCCCCATGGCACTTAGCAGGAAGAAATAAAAACTCTCTTCAGTTTGAAAAGTTATTAGTCAGAAATAAATGTTAAATGATCAAAGACTAAGTAGTTCAAATCAGAAAGCCAGGTCTGAAGTTTCAAAGGCCCTTTATTAGGGGAAGGTCCCCTTGGTGGCACAAAACTTCACATACACTTTGAGAACAATCAGATTTTTCCTAAAAATTGGGGTGGGGGGACAAAACAACAGATGTGCTTTTTGTATATATTGAACACAAATTAAAAGAATTTATAAAACGTTCTCCTTTCTTACAGAATAAACACAGCAGACTACATTCCGAATGCACTTGCAGGTTTGTTTTTGTTTCATTTTCTGATAATAAATAAAATCTGTCCCTAAGCTTGGGATTCACCTGTTCCGGAACGCTTGGGTCGTCACTGGGATTTCTTCCCGTGGTCGCTCCTGTGTGCAGCGTTGGGGTGGCCTGGGGTCACCAGTTTTGCAGGCCCCTCGAGTCTGGCATCTTTTCGAGGTGGCATTCTCTCATTAATTCGGTCCAGTCCGCGGGCTTCTTCAAAACTCCGGATCTTGTGCTGGAGCGAAAACCCTCGGATGGCTGAAGAGAAACAGGAAAAGGGGTGGAGAGGGCTCTGTTAGGCACAAAGCAGCAGTTCAACAAAGTTTTTCACCCACAGACCCTCCCAGGGAACACACAGAAAGGGGACCAGGGAGCACATATCTGGTGAAGGGAACAGGGAACATGTAACTCAGCCAGCCTTGTCTGAAACTTTCCCTTGCTTTCTTCAAGGGAAAGCACAGCTGAAACTACATTTTTCATAAAAGCTCAATAGGACGAATCATGGGAGAAATATATCTGATGAAGAGGCAACAAGCTCTTAGCCCCAGTGTCAGAAACAGTGGGCCAGAAATATGCCCAGTGCTAGAAAAAAGGGCACCCTATGATAACAGAACAAATTCAACAGTTAAGTAGTTGCTTTAAAAAAAAAAGTACTAGGGATTGAACCCATAGACTTTGCTCTGAGCTACATCCCCAGTCTACTTTACTTTTTATTTTGAGACAGGGTCTGTTAAGTTGTTAAATTGTCCAGGCTGGACTTAAATTTAGGATCCTCCTGCCTCAGCCTCCCAGAGTGCTGGGATGACAGGTGTGTGCTACCATGCCAGGCTCAGAGTTGTTGCCTTAGGCACAAACATCACATTGACAACAAAAGAAGAAACAAGACGGCTTTCTATTTAAGACAGCTTTTTATCTTGCACAAGCAGGAGTTGAACATAATATAAAAACCATCAACACAGCTTCTAGGTATTTTCCTTCTGATTCGATTTAGACTGAACTGAAACTGTCAAAAAAAGGCATTCCCATTATAACTACCTTACCTAATAAAACAAATTTATAACACAGGTTTATCACCCAATGGTTTTTCAACCACAAATTTATACAATGTCTCCACAGAAACAAAGATAATTTAGGTTAATTGTCTTAGGGCAACCTCAAAAATGAACCGAATGAAACCCTAGTCTATTTTAGTCTCTGCTCTTAATAACCTGAGAGTCCTCACATAAAGAGGTTGCCCCGTCCGACCTTGGTGACTCGGATGTCTTTTGTACAGGGAGGAGATAGAGGGTTAACACCCCGCCCCCCCGCATGTGCAGTTGCTGAAGCTTCAGTCACTGTGTGCAAACTGACCGGTCCCCACCAAGGAGTTTAGCTGGGGTGAAGGTCATTTAAACGAATAAAGATCCAGAACATGTTAACATGCCTAGGAATGTTCATTCCTTTTCTCACTGTTACAGTTCCGGTGATGTAATAACAAGAGATTGGAAATGCTAAGAAAGCCTTTTAAAACTAGTAGACAGACACAGGAGCACATCTATCCGAGGACACAGCCGTACCTTCCTGGGCCTCTACCGCTTCTACTGTGGCTGAGAGGGCAGGAGCAGTGGCATGCAAAATGAAGACAGAAAAGAGTGAGTAAGCCAGCAGTTCTGCTGCCAGCACAGACACCCAGGTCCCCCCTCCCCGACCCACCGTGAAAGCCCCCTAGTTAGAGAAGCCAGAGATTACTGAGAGGAGCTAGGCAGGAAAGTTTCTCATATTTTTAGCATTTTAGGTGGCACTGGAACACTGTTCATTTGAAACAGCCAACTGCTAGTGTATGTCTTGATAACCACATAACGAAATGACCTGTCAAATACACTTTTTTACAGTTCCAGGGAGTGAACCCCAGGGGTGCTCTACCACTGAGCTACACCTCTAGGACACCTCCTCCCTATCCTTTCTTTAAATTCTGAGACAAGGTCTCCCTAAATTGCTCAGGCTGGCCTTGAACTTGGGATCCTTCTGCCTTAGCCTCCCGAGTAGCTGGGATTACAGGACCATGCCCCTGCGAATAAACTGACAAGCGAGTTTCAGTTTGTAATAGCTGGGATGGTATTCATGAGCTGCTGCTGGGTCCTATTCAAAAAACTTGTTTACTATTCCATCTTACTGCTCTCAAATGACTTATGTGGGAGCCAACCATCCTCTGAATTACTAAAATAAGAGTGGCCTTTGAATAACAGAGTGGCATTTGGAAGAAGAGAAAAATGCATTACAAGTGAAGGGTTATTTCTTATCTGGAGGTGGACTGCTAAATGCCCAAGGCACCGGACTGTTTGGTCCCACTGGGAATGCATGTGCCCTTGTGGGCTCGTGACATGGCGAAGACTGACCCCAACCTCCCACATGGCTTCCGCTCAGGTCAGTGACCGAGAAAGCCCTCTTCTCCCTCCCTCAGTGATCAAAATGGAAACAATTTAAAAATTAGCATTAACAGGGAGACTTCCTTGCACCTTAATTTTTCAGACAGCAGAAGCTCTAATATATGAAAAGGTTATAGGTTGAAGTGAGACAGACTCCATCAGGAGAACCTCCTCAACCCCTCCAATAGCAATTTTCTTAAAGGCAGGAAGCTCCTGTAAGTGAACCCCGTCGGTTCTTCCAATCTGAATGTTGCTGAAAGTGGCAGAGAATAAGCAGCAGCAAGTCTGCTGTTGTTGAGGCCTTACTTATTAGGGTAAGAGAGATGGCGAGAAACACGGTGCTAACTTCCTAATGCAGTATGAAGTTAGCTACCAGGCACTGGGCTCACCTTATTAGGTGCTTACTTTGCCCTACACTCCCAGCTCTCAGCAACGCATCTTATCTTTTTCACTGTAGCCATCCTAGTGAATGTGAACTGCTATTTTATTATGATTTTGCTCTGCATTTCTGGAATGTCTAATGATGCCAAACATCCCTTCATGGGCCACTTGTGTGTCTTCTTTGGAAAAATACCAATTCAAGTTCTACACCTGTATTTAGTTGTAATGTCTTTTTATTTAGTTGTAAGAGTTCTTTACATTTTCTAGAAGAGAGTCCCTTATGAAATATGTGATTTGAAAATATTTGCATACATTCTATGGGTTGTCTTCTTATTTTCTTAATAGCTCCACTTATAGAATAAAAGCTTTATTTTATTTATTAGAAAAGGTCTTGCAATGTATTCCAGGCCAGACTTGAACTCAATATGTAGCCCAGGCTGGCCTTAAACTTGCAGCGATCCTTCTGCCTCAGCCTCCCAAGTGCTAGGATGACAGGCATGCACCACTATACCTGGCTCTTCCTAAAACTTTAAAAGTTTGATGCAGTCCAATTTATAATTCATTTTTTAAATCACATGGTCTTTGTGAATTTTGTTCTGTTCTTGGCTTTCTTCTTGATTTTGGCAACTAGGCAGCTTGATGTCAAACTTGTGGCTGGCTGTCAGATTTCCTTTAATATCTTTTATGCTCCAATTTCCAAGCACGTTTACTTACTTCACTCCATTGTAAGTACACTCATTCAACCTCTCTTGGAAGAAGGTAAGGTGTAAAGGAACATAGTTGTAAGGTCCTAAGGGATACTGTTGACTGACAGCTCTTCAAGGAAAGTTATATTAACAATAAAAAGATCTTTTTCCACTCCAGCTCAGTCCCATCTGCCCACGAGCTTATGGAACTGAGATTCTGATGTGAAAATGACAAACCAAATTCATTTCCTGTCAATCAACAAGAAGCTCTGAAAAGTTGGCAACAACTTTAGTTTTTGTTCTTAAATATTCCTGAAGATTTCCATCAATTTGAGAAGTATCGATTAAAAAAATCCCAAACTGAGTAAGACACTCAAATCAGGAATGAAGAGACACTGGATATACGGGGGTCACCCCAAAATATGACCAAGAATTATAAATAAACAAATCCCCAAATAGCACATCTATAAAATTCTCTGTTACTTGCCCTTGACTTGTAGCTTTGCTCTTTCAAGGTCTAGACTTGTTTAGGTTAAAATAAGAACTCTGTAGATCAATCCATTTTCAAAACTTTAAAAAAGGGCCGGGGACTTAGCTCAAATAGTATTGCCACCTGCCTTGCAAAAGGTCCAGAGTTTGATCCCCCATACAAAAAAACCACAAAAACCCAAACCAAACCAAACCAAAACTTCAAGAAAGACTGCTATTTGACATTTCGCTTTTTCTTCACCCATATTACTTCCCATTACATTAAAATGTCCTTGTCAGCGCTGTTCTCAGAATATCTCACATGACTACCAAATAAAAACAAAGATAGAAAAGCATTTTGCTTAAAAAACAAAACAAAAAGCTGCACACATATTTAAGAGAAAAACTCTTCATCTGAAATAGCTTACTGATCTTTTCTGTGAAACTAAAGGAAATGAGAAAATAAGCTGGGTGAGGCATCCCAGCTACAGTCCCAGCTACTCAGCAGGGTGAGACAGGGCGGGGGATTGCTTGAGTGCAGGAGTTCAAGTCCAGCCTGGGCACCGAAGCCACACCCTCTCTTAAAGAAAAAGAAAGAGAGAAAAACAGAAAGAAATTATATACTTCCAAGGATAAATGTTCAATCTTCCTTCTAAATAGCTGAAGTCTAATATCTCAGTAGTCAATCTAAAAGAAAAAGAGAATTCAAGCCTATAAAAGAAAATGTATTCCTCTTAGTCAACAGAAGCTGAGATTTGCACAAAAGGAAAGTAATTCTTACATGTGGCAGAATAACAAGAGGGGCGAAAAACACCCCCGAAAAAAACTTCCAGAATAAATCAGTAAAATAAGGGAAACAAAAAGCAGTGAAATTTTAAGACAGTAATGCTTGAGTTCCAGTTTCCATGCCTGGAGTGAGTCATTCAAGTGTCATCTCTTGTTCCTTCCCTGTTTGACCAGTTCTATGTGCATTCTGACAAACATCAGTCTCTTCATTCCTTAATTCCATAAAGCCCTCTACTGAGAAGTCAGTGTTCATATATTGTCTTTGTTTTGTTTGAGACAGGGTCTCGATTTATAGTTCAGGCTGGCCTCAAACTCTTGGTGATCCTCCTGACTCAGCTTCCCGAGTGCTTGGATTACAGGTGTGTGCTACCAAACCTGGCTCTCAAAAATGTTTTAGAATGAATGTTCTTACTGGAGAGGGGACTGCGGCACTGGGCGAAAGTATGGCTACCAGGCCAGAGGCAAACTCCTGCTCTGTTGGACACAAATCTTCCAGACTGTTTCCTCAATGAGGTGTAAAATAGGCACATGAGCTGTATCATGTGCCCAAATCCTACATAACACACATGTGCCCAGACATGTTGCAGAGTATTCTCAAAGCTCCGAGTCCCTGTGTCCCCCGGGTCAATATCCTGCCAGCAGAGGAAGTGTCACTGACTTCTCATATCATTGTTCTTAGGTATCAGGTACATCGGGCAGTCCATGGTCTTTTGGGTTTTTATTATTTATTTTTGTGGTGCTGGAAAAGGAATCCAAAGCAATGAGCTACATCCCAACCCGTGTCTGGCTTTATTAGCTGACCATGTCATCTATAACTGTTTGTTACGTGTATCCATAATAGATTACTTTAAAATTGCCGAACAGTGCACTATTGTATAAATAACACGATTTATCTATTCTACTATCAACGGACATTGGAGTCATTTTCAGTTTGGAGCAACCATAAATAAACCTACGAGAGCACCCTTATTTGCATTATTTGGCGGACGCACATGCTGATTTCTCTTGGCTGTATGCCGGCTGCGCAACTGCAGGGTTGTGGGGTGGACACACGTCTCGCTTTACTGGCTCCTAGTTTGCTGAAGTGGCTGAACCCCTTTTATAAGCCCACTGACATATTTCCAGTTGTAGTTCTCCACAAACGCATCAGTACTTGGGCTTGTCAGATTTTATTTGATATTTCTGTCATTTAGGATTTTTGAGAAAGGGTCTTATCACATAGCTCAGGTTGGTCTTGAACTCACTTTGTAGCCCAGGTTGGCACTGAACTCAGGGTGATCATCCTGCCTCGGCCACCTGAGCGCTAGGATTACAGGTGTGTGCCACCAATGTGTAGCTTCTCGTCAGATTATAAATGATCACTCATTCCAATAGTATGCAGTGGTGTCGCACTGTGGTTTTATTATCTGTTTCCCAGAAGAATGACTATAGTATCCTTTAATATGCTTACTGGCTGTCTTGACATCCTTTTGTGAAATGCCTGTTAAAATTATTAGATCTTTTAAATCTTTAATTCTTTATTCTGATTAAGTTCTTTGTTAGACATTATGTATTGAGAAAAGTCTGTGGCTTGCCTTTTCATGTATCTTTATCATGTATTGTCATAAAAAAGTTATTTTAAGACGAGTCTCACTATGTTCTTCAGGCTGTCGTGGAATCACAGGCCCAGGTGACCCTCCCACCTCAGCCTCCAGAGTAGCTGACAGCTACCTGCGCCACTAGGCCCAGCTAGGAGATACTATTTCAATGAAATTCAATTTACTAATTGTTTTCTTTTATGGTTAGTGTTTTTTGTGTCCTACTTAAAGACTCTGCCTACCATAATGCCTCATCTCCATACTTTGTTCCAGGAGTCTTATTTTTGTAGCTTTTATATTTAAGTTGTAATCCAGTTTGAATCAGCGTTGGTATACAGAGGAAGGTTAGGGCTCAACAGTCATCCTCCCCAGCGGCTATCCACTGCTCCGGCGCCTGTACTGAAAGCAGCGCTCCCTTTTCATTTTGTGTTGACTGCAAGTGTTGAGGGAACACAGCAGCTGGTACTCACCAGTCTCAATCGTCTGCTTGCCTCCAGAGAGGACACCCAGAGGGAGTGTGCCGGTGGGCGTGAGGCCCTTTAGGGTCAGCACACTCTCACTCTCTTCCCTGCAAAGGAACACCAGAGCCCTGGTTAATGCCAGGGAGCTCCCACCTTGCCACTCGAGAGCACCCAGAGAAAGTTAAAAAAAGAGGCATGGACAGGACAGACCCATCTACTTCCAACCAGCCCATGACTCAAAGCAGAGGTTTTCTACAAATACTCCAATTTTAAACAACCAGGCATTTTTGTTTTTCAACCAAGGTATTTATAACCAGGCGTCCCCACCTAACAATCTTGTGAGCTAGGTCCTTTTATTATCTGTATTTTACAGATATCAAAACACAGGAACAGATTAAACCCAAGGTCATGCAGCTAAGAGGCAGAATCAGTTTGGACACAGGCAAATGTGGCTCTGAAATCTCCACTCAATCACTACATTCACTAGTATCACGTGAATATCTGCCTGAACATTATTTTAGTCACTTTAACACATGTATCTGTTCAATGTGCACTCCACCCGAAAGACCTGTGGTTCCAATACCAAATTCCAATTCTAAAAGAACCACTCTAAAATCAACTTCTAATGGGCTTTCAAAATGCCTCTCTGTCCCACACTGTAATGACAGACTGATCCTTACCGAAGAACTGAAAAGACACGTGCCATCTTCCCAATGGCTCGGATTTTATTCTTGATGATCTCTTTTCGAACTGAAGTGCTTCCTTAGAGAATACAAAGGATATACGAGTTAAAAGAATATTTAACAATCTGACTCTGAAAAAATGCAGGATAGTGTCTTTTTTGTTGTTTTTAAAAGAGAAATTAAGGCCTAAGCTTGTTTAAACAAACAAAAATCCCAGGTAAAAAGCAAGAGGAAAAAAAAAAATAGCCCAGAAGAGAAAAAGGTGAAGTAAAGAATGAAGGAAACACACACACACACACACACATACACACACACACACACAAAACTGAGTGAATCTATGAGGGTCGGGAACATTTGTGGTTCTGAAATGTAGAAAACAGTGACGAATGGAACACACACACACACACACACACACACACACACACACACACCCCACACAAAGACAGCTGCTATGGACAAGACCTCTTTTGAGAACGCAGTGGGCCACCGAAGGATGCAGGGTTTATCTGCCAAAGGGCAGTGGTCACACATCACTTGTGCAGTTGTTTTCTGCAGTGAACACAAGGTCCAGCTAGCTCTCCTGAATGCAGTGAGGGCTGCTTTCACACCATCACCCTCGCTCTCTCATACCAGGGAGTCAGAGTACCATGGGCAACTGTGCAGCACCAACACCATGGTTAGCTAAGGTATTTTAAAAGGCAGCATAGAAAATATTAACCCAGGACTCCATGGCTCGTTCTCATCTAAGACCTAGGAAACAGCCCACACATGAGAAGCCAAGGTCCAGGCATGCACCAGGTGACAGCATTCAACAGTCAGAAAAAGAAACATAGCCATTCCTTCCTCGCCTCCAGCTCTCAATGTCCTGCTGGAACAAGCAGCAGGTCCCGAGAAAACACAGACATTAGCACTGAACGGGAGGATGGAGGGTGTTGTGAAACTGGTCAACTACCAACTAAAAAGGTCTACCCAACAGAATGCAGCGGGACAGACAGCGAGTATTCGGCTCTTTACACGTTTCAGTTGGATACCTTTCTGAAAGCTTGAAATGTAGAGATCTTCAGGGAGAAGACACACCAAGAAACAAGGAATGGAAATAGAAATGTGAGAAGAGAACATAAGTACATGAAAGTGAGAAAAAAAATCAAAGTGAAATGCACCGAGAGCAAGCTAAATGTTAAATACAGATTCCTGCCCTCAGCTGTGTCTCCCATTTCTGAAATGTCTCATGTTCTGCATGATTTCTCATCTCTTATTATTTAATATGTTCTACTCTCATCATGAAAATCACATTAGACAAAGAAAAAGAAAAAGATATCTGTGGAATAAACAAGGAACAAAAACAAAGGGCAGAACAGTTCACGAATCTCTTAATAAGAACATTATTTTGCTTATTTTTTGGTACTGGGGATCGAACTCGGGTCTTTGTGCTTGCAAACAAGGCAGGCGGTGGAACCACTGAGCTAAATCCCCAGCCCTGAATAAAACACTATAATTTGTTCAATGGACTCACTATCTTCTCCTATTTTTCGGGGGATATTTTCCTTTTTTTAAGCTTTATGATTTCAGAATTTTAAAATCATTCCAATTGCCTTTTGTGGTTTTTGATTTGTCTAAGAGAGACCGCTCAGGTGTCTGCTGACCCCGGGGTTCACTGGGCTTCGGTGTGAGGGGTGCCACACCTTCCTGGTCACCACACCGCGGTCAGGGAACTGGGGAGGCACGTGGGTCACGTCTTTCATGTTTTAGGTACTGAGGTGCTGAATGGCTCTCCTAGCCCAGAACCTTTCAGGTTGAACTTTTTAGGGATGCACCTCCGGACCTGGAGAAGAGGCTGTCAGTCACTCAGGGGCAACTAGGACCTTACTTGCTTTGTAAATGGCTTTCAGACCAATCCACTTATATCGGTCACTACCAACCCAAACTCTCCCCACCAATTCCCAACTGGTGCTACCACTCAGCATTTCCTACTGCTAAACTGGGCTTCAGCTATCCCAAATTGGCTAAATCCATAATAGTTAGGGATCTGTTTTTCCAGCTCCCAAATATTTCTACAAAAATTCCCCCATTTTCATAGGTATAAAAAACTTTTTTAACCTTTTTATGGTGATGTATAACAAATATACATAAAAGTGCACAAATGTCTAAGTCACTGATTTATTAAAAAGCAAATGTCTACATAACCATCACTCAGGTCAGTAAACAGATTATTCATTGTCTGTTTCACAGAAGGGCTCCCATATTTAAGTTTCTCTCCTTCCCAAAGGAAATAGTTCTCTTGACTTTCAGTGGAATCACTGCCTTGCTATTCTTTACAGTTTACCACGTAAGCATCCATAAATGCTACAGTTTTAATTGCTTTAGAATTTTACGTAACTGGAACAATCAAGTGCATTTTTTGGCCTCACTTCGTTTGTTCAACACTATGTTTGAAAGATTCCTCTGTGTTTCTCCACGTTGCTAGTCTGTTTTCACCAGCATATGAGTGTGCTATGTATTATTTTTTTACTGTCCACAGTCATTTAGGCTGACTCTTAATTTTTGGCTACTACAAATTAGGCTGATGTTATGAGTATTCCTGCAACATTTCTCTTTGCTGCATATATTTCTGCTAAGTAGATTCCCAGCTTAATAGAATACCGGGTAAAAACAAGTTCTTACTTAAATGTTGTATGTATGCATGTCTTTTGAAAGAGGGTCTGGCTATGTAGTGCAGGCTGGCTTTGAACTCACTATGTAGCCCAGGCTGGCTTCAAACTCATGGCGATCCTCCTGTTTCAGCCTCCTGAGTTCTGGGATTACAGGTGGGCACCACCACAGCCAGATTTGTTGTCCACTTTACACAAGTTTCCTGTATATTTAGTGCTTTTTATGTCCTATTTAAAAAATTACTTTCTACTCCAAGGTCATGAAGATATTCTACATTATAAATAATAGAAACTTTTTTTTTGTTTTACTCCAAATGCATACATGCTTGCTTATTCACTGTTATTTATTGTTTCTTATGCTCTGTTTTTATGCTGCCCTTTCTTCTCTTAATACTTTGTTCTAGATTGTTTCTTCTGATCTATTTCCAGATCATGTTTGGCTTTATCAAATCTGTGGTTAATTCATCTGTTCAGTATTTTGTTTTATTTTTCAGTCCTAAAACTTTCTTTTGGTGTTTTATCGAATCTGCGCCATCCTCTTTTAAAATTCACACTTGTCAAAATTTTCACTCTAATCTTGTATGTCCTTGAACACAATAATCAAGTTTTGTTTTGGATTTAGCACAGGTATTTAAAGCTTTGATCTGATAAATCCAATGTCTGGAGAACCTGGAGGGTCTGTTTTTCTTCTTGCTGTTTCTGGAGTTCTTATTCAGGTTGTAATAGCGCCTCAACTGCCAAATTATTTTTGGTCACCAGCCACATACTGCCTTTGAAAGACTATAAAAATCATTTAAGGCCCTACCTGATGTTAAGTTAGTCTACAGAGATTGCTTTTCACCAGGTGTGTGGGACCACCTTGTCTAAATTCCAGGGGCTGAAGTGATGGTGAAGGTGGGCCACATTCCCTTCTGCAGCTGTCCTACATGCAGCCCCTCCTTCCTCTCACGTACATGCAGTCATCGTGAGTGTCCTAAACCGACGAGAAGAAGCTCTGTAGCACTCGCCTCATCTTTAGCAAACTAAGCCCCAACTTTTTTAGCTCAGCCACACAAGACTATCAAGAGAGCCGCTCAACCTTAGCCCCATCTTCTGAAATTCATGAATATATTAGAAAAGAAATGGTTCAAAACGTTGGTCGAACCCAGTGATGGCAAACCTTTTAGAGCTTTCCATGATACAGACCGCCCCCCGCAGCTGATATGAAATAGGTTCGTTACCACTGGTCTCACCTTTCTGGATTTGTCTTTTCCCAGGCCTCGGCCTGGTAGCTTTTACTACTTTGTCAGTTTTCTGATACCATTAAAGTAATTTGAAAATACTTCCTTTTGCTTTTCTAGTTATTTTAGCAGTCAGATTGATATAAAAACATTAATAGGAGTGGGCTGGGTATATAGCGCAGTGGCACCATGCCTGCCTGGCAAGTAAAAGGTCCTTGGTACTGAAAAAAAAAAAACAAAAAAAATCAACAAGGTTACCGGAGGCCGGGGATTTAGCTCAGTGGTTCAGTCACCTGCCTCGCAAGCGCAAGGACTGAAGTTTGATCCCTGGTAACAAAAAAATAAACAAGGGTACTGGATCTGGTCAGGGAGGTCAGAAATGTTTTCCATGACAAAGTAACAATAAGCTAAATAGGTGCTAACTAGCAGGGAAGGCAAGAAAGGAGGCTTCTATAGGGGAAACAAGATCCCAAGTAGGGACTCACATACTGTCCCACCAAACTGGTCATTGGGAGACCCACCTCTCTTCTCAGGGACACTTAGGTTGTTTTGAACCTTTTGTCATTAAAAATAAAACTTCAATAAACATCCCATGTGCAACTTTTGGCATCCTTTTCCAAGTACATCCTTATGGTAATCAGGAATTTCTTAGAGCCAGGCACATGCTTGTAGTCCCAGCACTCGAGAGGCTGAGGCAAGAGGACAACTTCAGCACAAAAGTTAAAAAAAAAGTCCCTTCCTACCACATATTATAGAGTTTATAATATTTTCACTTCTATTTCCATTTAGACTTGAATACAAGTTTTACTGAATTGGGTTCTTCCATATTTTATCTCTCCTAACTTAAATTCTTATTATCATTATTTTTATTTTTTCACTTGGACGCACCCTTTCCTCAAGAACTAGCTCCTTATAGTGATCTCCTAACCCATAAGTAAAGGTATTCACAAGCCCGTGACTTTCCCTGTGAAGTATGAAGCATAAACACGTATGGAAGCCCCCTCTCTAACCCCAAGTGAGCTGGACTTTCTCACCGAGAGGGTGGTTTACCCTAACAGCTGACTGCATCCCCTTAGCACAGAGCCTGGAGAGGATGAGTCAGAGGCAGGAGTTCAGGTGACCACCACCTCTCCAGTTCTCTGCATTCTCAGACAAGTTAGGATGCACCTTTGAAAGCAAACGTCTGACAACACACAAGGAAAAACATACTTGGCTACGTATCCAACAAAATGTTAATACATAAGGATCCCTCACACACTGTAAGGAAAAAATATGTACATAACTCAGTAGAGAGGTGGATATAAGATATGCATTAACATCCACAGAAGAGAAATAAGGCAAATGACCACAAGAAAACAATGTTCTTTGTCATTGTAAAAGTACAAATTAACTTTTAAAGCACCAGGCAGTAACATGTACAAGAAGCTGCACTGGAGAAATCGCTGTGATCACACACACAAATGTAAAATGGCACACAGCCTTTCTAGAGGTAAGATTTAAATTCTATTTTGAGGGATGCTGGGAACTGAATCCAGGGTTTTGCATGTTTATGTGAGTGCTCTAACACTGAGCTACATTCCCGTCCTTAAAATTTTCAGTACTATCTGATACAGATATCAATTTATATGAATTTATCCTATGGAAGTAATCAAGCCAATGTTATTCTTGGCTTTCTAATACTGCTTTACTTTCTTTCATATCATTTATCATCACCTGAATTATATTTGTTCGAGGCCAGCCTGAGCAAGACCTTGTCTCAAAATAAAATAAAAAGGGCTGGAGATGTAGCTCAGCATCCTGGTTTCAAGCCCCAGTGCCAGGGTGGGGAACTGGAGAGGACACGAGGAAAGATCACTATACAAAATTTGAAACAGTAGAGGTTTTTAAACCAAAAACTTGAAAAAAAAATCCAGTATACAGACTGAGGCCGGTTAGTACAAAGAATGATCAACAACAAGGACAAGCATGTAATCATTAGAAATCAGTCTTTTAGGGCCAGGGATTTAGCTCAGTGGTTCTGCTGGCAACCTCACAAGTGCAAGATCCCGAGTTCAATCCCCGGTATCAAAAAAAATAAAAATAAAAAAAGAAGAAAGAAATTAGTCTTTTAAAAAAGTAAATGTTGATAATGCCATTACATGACTTTCTTTTTGTGAATAAAAAGCAGGAGGAAAAAACATATATGAAGAGATAAGACAACTAACATCAAAATGTCAATGGTGAGTATCCATGAGATGGTGGAATTATGAGTATTTTTTCCTATTTATGTTTCCATATTTTTCAAATTTTATTTTTCTATGGTGAATGGTTTTATTTAGTAATAGAAATAAAACGACTCAAGATAAACTACAATTCAACTCTAAACTTCATAGTTGCTAGTTGAAGTGTAGAAAGTTTACCTTCCGCTTCATCGTCAGACATGAGCTCATCATCAGAGCATATGTTCAGAATGTTTACCAGCATCTCCGTGACTGTGTGAGGCAAAAGCACCCAAAATGTACACAATTAGTAGGGATTTTTCTCTCAAATAATGTATATAATACACAGACATGCCAAACAAATACAGACAACAAGTTTTACCGTTATATTATGAAGAATAGCTATAGCTGGGTACTGGGGCACATGCTTATAATCCTAGCTAATAAGGAGACTGAGGCAGGAGGATTGCAAATTCTAGGCCAGCCAGGGAAATTTAGGGAGATTCTGTGTCAAAATAAAAGTAAAAAAGGGCTGACAGTGTAGTTCAATGCTACTTGATTTCCCTCTCCAGTAAAACACACACACACACAGCTATAGCTATAAAACATTAACATTAAATGTACATCATCAGATTTAGAGAGAATTCGGGTAGATTTCCTGCTCCTGTAAAATAATCTTTGAAGATTCTGTTGTAAAATTATTTGATTTTATTAAAATGTTGTCTAGAGCCTTTTTTAAATATATGCATGAAAAAACGTCTTCCCATTTTTCAAATACATTACATCAACAAGCCTAGATCCAACATGCTTATTTTATATTTGCATAGCTTATTTGTGTAGCTGTGCAAATAAAATTCTAAAGATAATAAATCTTATTTAAATCTCTTTAGCATTAAAGCAATGGTGTAGGACTTGATCATGGTAGGATAGCTACTTATTTAGAATAATAAACCTGTAATACACTCATGTTGACATTTAAAAACCAATTAAGTATCACTAAAAATCTTTGGAGAAGCAGGGCTGGTGGCACATGCCTATAATCTTAGCCCTAAGGAGGCTGAGGCAGGAGGATTGCCATGAGTTTAAGGCCAGCCTGGACTATATAGTGAGCTCAAGACCAGCCTGGACCACACAGCAAGACCCCATCTCAAAAAAAAAAAAAAAAAAAAAAAGATCTTTAGAGGACTAGGCAGTACTTTGAAGGCCGAGACAAGAGGATCCCTGCGATTTAGAGGCCAGTCTAGACTACAACAGTGAGTTCAAGGCCGGCCTGACCTACATAGCGAGACCCTATCTTAACAAGAGGAAACAAAAATAGCCAACATTTCTGATAACACTTTGAGAGAAACATTCTGAACCAAAGAGGAGAGGCTCATGCTAGAGGAAAAGGTGGGTGGACATTTCCATTTCTTACCTTTTTCCCCAACAAAAGGCAAAGACCATGTGAAAACATCCATAAAGTTTGGAAGCCAGTAGGGGTGTGGAGAACAGTTAAACTGCCTGATATTCATGACATTGTTTTCATATTTCAATACTGCAGCTAGAAAGGAAAAAGAAAAAAAAATTAGGCACAGAGGAACATGCCATGAAACCAACGTGCTTTATACAGCTGTGTTCCACTACACAGAATCCAGGGATCACTTCCCACTTGTGACTCAGGACTGGTGAAGTGCAGATGGAAAACTTTAAGGCATCCTCTGTGTGGTAGTTCACCTGAAGAACTCATGTAATAAAACGCTTTCAAGGGTTCACTGCATAGGAACTGTCTATAGAAGCCTCCGGTTAGAAAATTTTCCCCATAACTTATATTTATATCACTCATCATGTGGACACAAGCTGTTTTGCTAGTCATTAGCCACAGCCAAAGAAAGCTTTTTAAAAGTCTATGGGAGTTTAGAAATAGCAGTTATCAATTCATAGTGGGGGGAAACAAATGGTAAAACTTGGAGCGATTTACAATTAGTGTTCAAAATAGGTTCAATCATCTCTGCATAGTATAGAGTGGACTTTAAAAATGCCTATTTATCCTATTGACAGTATATTGCCAGCACACAATAAATGTTTACTATTAACCAGTTCTTACAGCTGCATACACATTTTGATGCCTACGTGATTTTCTTCATATTTTTTCTTTATATTTTAAAAGATTCAAAATTGAATTCCCTAGTCTCCATCACCAGAAATGTTTGCACTATTCTTTTAGTTATTCTTATTCTATGAAATAGAAAATAGGACAGCAGTTTTCTCAAAATAACATATATAGTTCATCTCCTGGCTGCTGTTTCCTCATTATAGGATATCTAGTGTTCTCAAAATTTAATTATTGAATGCCCAAAAAGTACACCATTGATTATAAAGAAAATATGCAAAAATGGGACCTCTAGTTCTTAAAAAGCTAACCCTGGATACCAGGTACACGTCCCATTATTTTCTTGGATCTGTATTTTATTTAGGTCAAATTAATCTATTGTTATTCAGTAACAGTCTTGATCTACACAGGAGAAGAAAGTGAGAAATGGGTCTCAACAATGGATGACAAGTAAATTGCTTTTGGGTGGGCAGAAAAAAACCCAAGAACAAGGACCTGAAACCCCATAACGCAGGGTCTGGAGATGCCAATAATTGTAAAGAATATACAAAAAAGGAGGGGATGGGGACGCAGCCCTGTGATAGAGCACTTGCCTAGCATGTGCAAGGTTTTGGGGTTGATTCCACTAATGAAAAAAAAGAAAGAAAGAAAGAAAGAAAGAGAGAAAGGTGAAAAGAAAATGTAAAAAGTAAAAAGCAGAAATGGGAGAAAAAGAGTGATAGAGTCACTCTTTAGAAAAGAGGAGCTCTCAAGGGAGTAACTGAGTGCCAACAGGGATTGTTTCAGATGCTATACTTTTTTGTCCTTAAAAAAAAAAGTTTAGAAAACCACCAAGGAAATGAGATTATTTTGAGAGAAAGTTACCAATTATATCAAAGCTGACAGAAAACCTAAGTAGAATGGATTACGGTGCAAAATGTTTACTAAACAATAACCAAGAACAAAACAAGTGTTGGGGATTTAGTTCAGTGACATTCCTCTTGTTTAGCAAGTGCAAGGCCCTGAATTCAATCCCTAGTACAAAAAACAAAACAAAACAAAAAAACTGAAAATAAAAAAGTGCTGGGGATGTAGCTAGGTACAAAGACCCTGCATTCAATCCTCAGGACTGAGAACACGAACACACACGAACACACACACACACACACACACACACACACACACACTGGATACCTCTAGATATGAGAGGAAACCAAAATAAAACCATGTGGCTAATATACTGGAAATGTTGGAAAAGAGGAAGTCAGAACTAAAAACTTAGGAAGAAGCAGAACATTATAGGGTAGCTAAGGCTCAGTGAAGACCAATGAGAAGCAATAGGAAAACACAAGGCCGGGAGAGAACTAAAGACTGGCTCTTTAAAAAACAGGCAACAGGGCTGGGAGTTTTGCTCAGTGGGGGAATGCTTGCCTCACACATGTGAGGCTCTGGGTTCTAATCGGTGGCAGGGGCGGGTGGGTAACAAATCAGGGAAAAACACACAAGTGCTCTACCACTGAGCAACATCCTCAGCTCCCATAGTTTATGTATAAACAGGGTAAATATTAAGTACATGTTTTACCTCTTTTGAAACTTGTCTCCCCAGCTGCATATACAAGGTATGACTATAAAGTAATGAGACTTAAGGAACCACCAACTACAAACACACGGCATCTCATATATCAGATGAGTGGGGCCCTTTGATGTCATCACATCAGGCACAACAGCAGTGAAATGTTACAGTATTACAGTAGTTTATATTTTGAACAATGCTTTAGTATTCATTTTCATGATTCCAACTTATCTTCAACAACTCTATATGCCACATATTTTAAAGATAAACCGAGGCCCAAAGAAGTTAAGTATCTTGTTAAACAGGACACACTTAAAAGTGAAGCAGGAATTCAGGCTCCTAGCTTAGGGTCCTTTCAACAAAACTTGCTCCTTGCCATACAATTAATCTGAAGATGCTGCCACTATTCAGAACGCTTTTGGAACTCTTCTTCTGGAATTGCCTCCAGAGCCAGTACGGACACAACACAAGAACCAGTCTCATTACCCTTTAATCATACCTTGTTCCAACCCCAAATGGTGTCATTGAGCTCAATCACTCACCTTCATTTATCAGTCTTGACTCCGAATGACTTTTGGATGTCCAAAAATCAAATCCACCCTCAAAGGACGAAGATTTCCCATCATTGAGGATAATCAAAAGAATGTGTCGCAGACTCTGAAGGCAATGCCAAAAGAGGAGTTCCAAAAATGTTTCTGAACAATGACTGCATTGTTGGAATACATATCTACCCTCTCAGGATAATTGCTTTGAAGGGACAATACTCATCTGGATATATTTGTTTCAGCATGTTTGTTTAAAAGTCCTATTATTTTATAGTCACACTTAATGAACAATGGAATACAGATATGAAGTTTTTGTAGGACCACTGCCCTGGAAAGAAAAAAAAAACTTACGAACTATGAATCATAAAAGTTTAAAATCTGATAAGACTTTAGCAAGATAAAGTCTTAGAAGCGGAGTTTCTGAAATAAAAGACATGTGTGTATCCTTCTTTTTAATATAGGAAACAAGTTTAGAAAGATTATGTGACTTAGCCAAAGTCACACTTAGTTTCTAGCAGGGTTTGGACTAAAATAAAGACTTTTTTTCCTGACTGTTCGCTATTCATTCACTCAACCATACTGTGTGTCAGGAAGAACAAGAACAGCTTAATAAGTTACAAACATCAAACAACACATGATACATTTTTGAGGTACAATTAAACAAATTCTCCAAAACCAGTAATTTATGCTAAACATATTAACATGACCTTGAAATGTTTTTGTTTTTGGTACCAGGGATGGAACTCGGGCCCCTGCACTTGTGAGGCGGGCACTGGAACCACTGAGCTAAATCTCCAGCCTGACCTTGAAGTTTTTTACTCTGCTTAAACTTTTGACTCAGTAGTACAAACCCGTAGAATCATTATTGGTATTCACAAAGGACCCCAATCTTCTTATGAGATGAAGACCAAGCAGCAGCACAAACTTTAAATTTCTTGGCCTTTGTTTCAATTAAAATCTCTTTTCTTCTTCTTCTTCTTTTTTTTTTTTTTTTGCTACTGGGGATTGAACTCAGGTCCTTGCACTTGCAAGGCAGGCCACCAAACCCTGAGCTAAATCCCTGGCCTTCTTTTCTTCTTTTTTGTGGTAGAGACATTGGTGCTGGAGATTGAATCCAGGGACTTGCATATTCTAAGCACATGCTTTATCAGGGAGCTTTACCTCCTGCCTGAGATCTTTTTATATAAAAATAACTACTGGAGGGTATAACTCCATGGTAGAATATATGCTTAGCAAGGGCAAGGCCATGGATTCAATCCCCAGCACCAAAAAAATAATACACACACACACACACACAATTGAACTATGATTCACATTTACTCACAAAGTCAAACTCAAATATTGATGGACTCCTTTACCTTTATTGTTATAGACATCTAGGTAATTAGGGGCAGAGAAAATTGTAATAAGTGATGGAAAGCCGGTGGTCTGGCTCTTCCGGTACATTCGATACCTGGAAGAGAGATGATAGCCTGTCTGTCTTGATATTAAAGGTAAAAAATATCTGTTGTAATATCTGGTCTATTATAGTTTTAATGCAACTTACCCAGCATCTTGGGCTTCATGGGCTCTGATTATTGATAATAAATTGTTGTTCTGTAAAAATTCACAAACTGCAGGATAACTGAAAATTAGAAAACATAAGTTCAGAATTAAAACAATTATTTTTTAATAGGAGGAAAGGAAAAGCCAAAATTGACTGTTCAGTTTCAAGATTATAAGTATTATACACAGCTGAAATTAGTAATGTGACTATTTTTCATTTCACTAATACAAGCCACATGTCATAAATGAAGGTAACAGACAACCCTGGAATAGAGACAGCCCCCTACCTCTTAATTTCTTTTGTGACTCATAGCAATAATGATACAATATTGGAACTTTTCTTGGCATCTTGATGTAAAAAAATACCACACCAGCATGCATGTGCATGTACCCATGTATGTATTTATTCAGTCATGCTATAAACAGAATATATAATTTTCTTCAGCCATCAAATTATGAAGCTGTTAGAAAAGCAAAAGAACCCACTATAGCTTTACATGTACTATCCACGGCAAGATGATCTTACACAAGGTGACTGCAGGAGTGGATGTGAACAGCGTCCTTGTGAAAGGTGTGACATCTGCACACAGGCCTAAAATATTCTCAGTACCATTACCTTTCTGAATGACAGATATCTGGTAGCAAGAACACGATAATATAAAATTAAACTGGAATCATCCAGGCGTTATTTAGTTTATTTAAAAAATATTTTTTCTCCTTATGCTCATTAGAAAAACATTACTTCTATTTATTTTTTTCTTTTATTGAGTTTACTGGTACATTTTAGGTACACAGTACAGTTACATTCATCATTGGGATCTTGTACCTTTACATGACAGGTCTTGGTTCTCATTTTTTCCCTTATCCCTGCTCCCCTCCCTTCATCCCCTCTTCCCCTCCCCATTTACAAACACTTTATTTCCATTTTTTCATCTTGTCGTATTTTTTCCCTTATTACCTTTCCCCTACGCTTCCCACTTTTCCTACACCTTTAGCCCTTTTCTTCCCATTTCACAATGTCTGTTATCTCATTAGGATCTTATGTACTGTTATAGTTTATTCACACCAGAGAAACTATTCGGTATTTACACATGTGTGACTTATTTATTTCACTTAAAAATTTACTTTTAAAATAGATCATGGGTGGCATCACCAAGATAGCAGAAGAGAAAGTCCCCAGCCCTTCTCCTGACACAGAAATAACAGACTGGCAGCCACTCACAGACTAAGTGTTGCTGTAAGGCCCTCAGTATTGAGGTCAGAGGTTGTGAAGTTTTGGTGGAGGCCAAGCCTAAGGAGGGCCAGAGAGAAAAGGTGGCCTTCCTGCCTGGAACCCATGCAGGTGAAGAAGCAGCCTGGCCTTCTGTGGACTTGTGCCACTCATCTGCAGCCATGGCAGCAGCCCCATCTGCCTAGGGGCCTGGAAGGAGCTATGACCACTGTGACACTGATAGCAGACTTGCCGGTCAAACCCAATGGGAGAACCAGAACAGGCCCATGGCCAAGCTCCCGCCTCACTCTACGGTGGCCTAGAGGTAGTCCTCGTCCTAGCGTTTTAGAGACCTGGACAGAACCACACCTGTCCATGCTCCAGGGCTGCTTATTGGACCCTAAGGCAGACCTACACAAGCCTTGTGACCTTGCTTAAGACTCATTCTATTGAGTTCCAGAGGCACTCGTGTCCACCGAGGCCCGAGAGGTGACACTCCTGTCCAATCTACCAACTGCTATAAGCTGAATACAGACCCACCAACTGTGGATCCTGTGGTAGCCCTGAGACTCAGCTCCAGTCCAGCCATGATCCCAGAGTAGCTCCATAAGTCCAGGGACCCAGCAGAAGGTATTTACCTGACAAAACAAATCTGTACAAACGACAGGAGGTGTCTGCTCCTTCCAGCGCGCAGACACCAGTGTACATCCACATGGATTATGGAGCATTAGGTTAACATGATACCACCAAAGAAAGCTAGCAGAGCTCCAGCAACTGACCCTAAGGAAATGGAGATGCACCAAATGCATAGCAAGGAATGCAAATCCATCATTTCAAAGAAGGTCTAGGAGCTACAAGAGAATATAGACAATCCATATGAAATCAGGAAAACCAGGCAGGGGCAAACCGAGATGTTTAATAGAGAGACAGAAAAAAGGATAGGGGTATAGTTCAGTGGTACAGCATGTGCTTAGAATGCCTAAGGCCCTGGGTCAATCCCCAACCTTGAGTGAGTAAACAACCAGGAAAAGATTAGAAATCCTACAAAAGAACCAAACAGAAATCCTGAGATGAAGAATACAATGACTGAACTAAAAAAACCCAATAAAATGCTCCAGCAGCAGACTCAGTTGTGCTGAAGAAAAGAATTACTGTACTCAAAGATAACTCATTTGAAATTATCTAGACAGAGGAAAAACAACAACAACAAAAGAAAGAATAAGAGTGTCAAAAGTATATGGAACTTATGGGACAGCATTAAGCAAAATAATATGTGCACAGGAATTCAAGAAGGAGAATTAAGAAAAGGGGCAGAGATTTCATTTAAAGAAATGGCAGCCGAGAATTCCCCAAATCTAGGGAGGGAAATGACCACCTCAATTCATAAAGCCCAAAAGTCTCCAAATAAGTTAAACCAAAGAAGTCTAAACTGAGATGCATTATAAACAGTCAAAAGTTAAAAGCAGAGAGATTTTGAAAGCAGATAAAGAAATGTAGCCTTCCCATAGGAACTTTCTGGTCACAAGGGAATTTTCATAGACTGTCAGTAAATTTCTGAGCAGAAACTTTGCAGGCCAGGAGAGAAGAGGACAATATATATATATATATATACATACACACACACAAACACACACACACATACATGGATATACGCACACATATACATACATACATGGAGAGAGAGGAAGAGGAAGAGAGAGAGAGGGAGGGACGGGGAAGGAGAGAGAGGAGAAGGAGGAGAAAGAGGAAGAATGGGGAGGGGAGGGAGGAGGGGGAGAGGCAGATACAGGAAAAAGAGGAGGAGGGGCTGGGCGTGGTGGCTCACGCCTGTAATCCCAGCACTTGGAAGGCTGAGGCAGGAGGATCGCTGTGAGTTTGAGACCAGCCTTGGCTACACAGTGAGTTCCAGGTCAGTCTCAACTACATAGTGAGACCCTGTCTCAAAAAAAAACAAAACAAACAATAAATAAATAAATAAAAGAGGAGGAGGAAGAGGAGGAAGGAAGGGAGGGAAAAGTAAAGATGGAAAAAAAAAGACGGAAAAGGAAAGAAGGAAGGAAGGAAGGAAGGGCAGGTTGCCCTGCCAACCAAAATCATAAGGATTTTACCCAGCAAAACGTCATTTGACAATTAAGTAAAAGTGGGCTGTGGGGGCGCAGGCCTGTAATGCCAGCAGTCTGAGAGGCGGAGGCAGGAGGATTACAAATTTGAGTTCAACCTGGACAACTTAGTAACTTAGGGAGATCCTATTTCAAAGATTAAAATAAATTAATTAATTAAATAAAGAGCTGGAGATGCAGGTCAGTACAAAGGCCTTGGCTTAATCCTCAGTATCATAAAAAGATAAAAAGACTGGTAAGACTTTCCTAGACAACACAAATCGGAAAGAGTTTATTACCATTAGACCTTCCTTATAAGGCCTGCTGAAGAAAGTTCAAATCAAAATGAAAGAGGCTGAACAACATGAAAACATGAAGGTATAGAGTTTATGTATGCAACTGCAGTTAAATTCTCAGCGAGAGGTGGACTGTCAGAACTATATGTTTGACACGAATCTCATGGTTGAGAAAAGAAAAGGTCAGTGTAGATACACAAAGATAACGAACCAAGACACGTTAGCACACACACATAAAATCATCAAAGCACAGACAGTCATGAGAGTAAGAAACAGAAGAACCATAAAAAAGATAAAAAATAACACCAACACGGCAACTTCACCTGTCCCTACTCACTTCATCTCCTCAGTGGAAACACAGAATGACTGGGTGATAACAGCCGAGACCCAGCTATCTGCTGTCTGTAAGAGAACCGCTTTAGAGTTAAGGATATACGTGAGCCAAAAGCAAAGCAATGGACAAAGATATTTCGTGCCTATGGTTATCAAAATAACACAGGAGTGGCTACTCTTATATCAGGCAAAGTAGAATTTAAGTCCAAGAAAACCCTACAAATAATTTTTTTTAAAAGCGCCAAGGACCTGAACAGACACTTCAACAACAACCACAAAAATACGGATGGCAAACAGGTTTATGAAAAACCGCCCATCACTAATCACCAGGAAAATACAAATCAAAACTACAGTGACGTATTTCCACACACCTGTCAGAATGGTTATTATCCAAAGAACTAAAAGTACTGGTAAGGGCGTTTTAGAAAATGAAACCCTTGGTACAGTATTGGTGGAGAAATAAATGAGTACAGCCATTATGGAAAACAGGTGGAAACTCCTTAAAAATTTAAAAACAGAAGCATCACAGGATCCAACCACCCTACTTCTGGGTATGTTTCCAAAGGAAATTAAATCAGTAGCTGAGTAACATGCCCTCCCATGTTCGTCAAAGCATCGTTCACAATGGCCAGAATATGGGAACGAGCGAAGTACGTGTATGTGTATATGTGTATAAAATTTAAACTTAGAAAAGTGAAGTTCTGCCATCTGTGGTACATGGGTGAATCTGAAAAATACAGGTAATGAAATAAGCCAGATAAAAAACAAACACCGCGGGCCGCGGATGTAGCTCAGTGGTTTCACCGCCTGCCTCACAAGGACCTGAGTTCAATCCCCGGCACCAAAAACAAAAAACCAACTACTGCATGTGACCTCACTTATATGTAGAATCTAAATTCACTGCAAGAATAGAATTAGAATGATGGTTGCCAGAGGGCTAGGAGTTGGGGAAATGGGGAGATGTTCGAGTACAAAATAGGGTGGAGGGGAGCCGGGGATTTAGCTCAGTGGTGCTGCCGCCTGCCGCGTGAGCACAAGGACAAGAAAAAAAAAAGGGTGGAGGCTATAGTTCAGTGGTAGAGTACATACTTAGCATGGTGACTACAATTAAAGATACTGTACTGGGTACTTGAACTTTGGCAAGGGGTTAGAATCCAAGTGTTCCCACCACATACATACAAAAAAGGCAACTATGTAAGGCAATAGAAACATCCATTAGGTGGGCTGACTGCTGGTGGTCATCTCACAATGCATATGTGTATCAAGATATCTAGCTGTACACCCCAAATACATACTTTTTATTGGCCAATGATACCTCAGTAAAGCTAAATATAAATAAATGATGATATACTCACAAGATATAACATTTAAACATTAAATTTAAAGAGTAAATAGCAAAATAGCTCCCTTCTATTCTGATCTTCCAGCTACCCTGAAAGCCAGCCAGCCACCAGTGTCTCCGCTATCTTTTATCATTCACCTCCCTGCTTATCAGGGATCAAACTCAGGACCCTGTGCTTATGAGGCAGGCATGGCACCACTGAGCTAAATCCCCAGTCCCCCTGATTTCTTGAGTATTCATTCCTTCAAGGATAATCTATCCGGGGCCGGGGATTTAGCTCAGTGGTTCTGCCACCTTCCTTGTAAGCACCAGGTCCTGAGTTCGATTGCTGGTACCAAAAAAAAAAACAAAGATAATCTATCCAATTCCAAGCAATTACATATGCATACCTCCTTTTTCCTTTTTTTGAAATGTTAGCATATTGTAAACATAATTCTGTACCATCTTTTTTTCACTTTTATTAGCGATTATTTCATAACAGTAAATGAACAGCTTTTCTTTCTTGCTTTGAAAAAATAGCCTAATAGATCAATATCTGAATCTGTTACAAATAACTTGCCTTCTATCAAACACTGTGGTTATTTTCAATCTTACTATAAATAATACAAGAGGAATAAACATTTCACACATTTGCAGTAGAATGCTCATTATTCCAGTAACAAGTGTTCTATCACATTGCTTCAAAAGTGAATTAGAGAAGAATAAAACATTATTCCTAGGGGAAATATAGGGTTAATGTCCTATAAACCTTTGGTCATAACATTTTCACTGACTAATACAAAACCTTATTTCAGAAGTGAGCTTTGCCCCATTCCCCAAACACTGGGGACTGAACTCATGACCTTTATGCTGAGCTATATACTGAGCCCCCTACCCCTTTTTTTTTTTTTTTGGTTTTTTGATACAGGGTCTCACTATGTAGTTGAGACTGACCTGTAACTCACTGGTCTCCAATTCACAGTGAACCTCCTGTCTCAGCCTCCCGAGTGCTGGGATTACAGGCGTGCACCACCATGCCTAGCCCCAGCCCTTTTATTCTTTATGAGTAGGAAAAATTTATTGAGAGAAAGAAAGCTTCTATCTAAGAGAAGACAGAGGGGGACTGGAAAGTGGGCTGCCCGCCCACCCCACTTTTCAAAGATACAGCCAAGCCATGTGGTAAGGCTGGTACAAAGTGGGACAAAAACTGTAAGAACCAATGGAAAATTACAAGGTGGGCATGGGGTGGGGCAAAACCATGACCAACCAATAAGGTTACAAGTACAATCACCCAGGTAATACTGATGAATGGGAGTCAAATGGGGGAGCAGCTCATGTAGCAAGCATACTAGGATTCTTTTTCCTTTTGGAGAGAGGGTTTGCTATAAGTTGCCTAGTTTGATGGGCCCAAACATGTAATCCTCCTGCCTTGGCCTCTCAAAATGCTGGGATTACAGGCATGTGCCACCATGTGTGTTTTATAAAGACACTTTACTTAAATATATCGCTGATTCATAGACACTAAATGCATGGTCAACATCACAGTTCATGACTAAGATTATCTAACATACGCAAATTTTCTATGCAAGGCGCAGTGCAGCCTCCTTGTGCTTGGAAACAGTGGACAGCACTCCCACACTATTGTGTGCCACTTAAAACAGCAAAATCCTAACAAAAGCACAAAGCCATGGAAAATGCTGCACTATAGAGGCAGCAAAAAGAATACAGGTACTTGTTTACAGTATGATGGCTGAAACAAGAAGACAGAGGACTACACAGTTAACCTAGTGGGGAATGCGTGTATGGAACAAATCAATTTTTTTGTTCCTACATACAGCACATGGCCATGAAAGATTATGAAAGATGCATGATGATTTGGGGGTTACAAATATTTTAGTGAGTACAGGAATTTAAAAATATGGAATCTGCAAATGCTAAACTTCTTCTGTATATCCACAAGATTAAACCTTTGAAATAGAATTTCTGGATCAAGGCTCATTTATAATTCAGAGATTGCCAAGTTTACCTCTATAGAAATTATAACAATTTACATTCTACCAACAATAAAAACTATGTTCCTAAAAATAAAAAAAATGATAAAAGTTAAATGTTTTCACCATATAAGTCACTTAAAAGGCTGGTAGTAAAGAATGCAAAAAGGTCACTTACAAAAATGCTAAAATGGAGGCTGTGTGTTTATTTCATTTAATTAATGTGCTATTTTAGCTAATTAACAGATTTTTAGGGGAGAATATACATGTTTCCTTTCTTTCCTTCTTTTTGGTTTTTTGAGACAGGGTCTTACTATGTAATTGAGACTGACCTGGAACTCACTATGTAGCTCAGGCTGGTCTCGAACTCACAGTGATCCTCCTGCCTCAGCCTCCCGAGTGCTGGGATTACAGGCATGTGCCACCTCACTCGGCTATACATGTTTTCTCTGTCACACACAATAATTGATATTTCAAACTTCTCTATCTCTCTGTTGTCAGGGGGCAAACCACAATGAAAGCTTATACACAGAACGCGGGACAGCAGCCAACTTCCAGGAAATGTCCTGGGCTTAGATCACAATGTCCTGTTCTTTTTATAGCGTTGTCTATATAAATGGTTACAAAAGCTGGGACCTTTTTAAACATAACAGGATTCCCCTGTCTCAGGCCTACTGAATCAGAACATTTGGGGAAAGAGCCAAGATGTCTTTTTTTTTTTTTTTTAATGAAAAAAATATAAATGATGTCTAGATCATTTGCAGTCAGACAGCACTGAAGCACTGAAAGATGTCCAACTACATTTGGTATATTACACTTTCAGGGAATAATATCCATGAAATATAAAACAAACAAATAAAACATTTTTGTCTTCTATCCAAAATTAAACAGAAGCACCGAAACTACATGTTTGAGATATAAAGTGCTTAAAAATAATTTGACTTTTAATTGTATCACAGATTTTTCCCCCCGAGTACCAGGGATAGAACTCAGAGACTTGTGCTTGCCAGGCAGGCATGGTGTCACTGAACTATATCCCCAGCCCCCTCCCCTTTTGTAATTTTCTACTTTGATTAGCTTACCTGAAAAAATAAGAGCACCCTCGGACAGTATTGTGGGTGTAGTTCTCCAAGGTCTTTTCGCTGCCATAATCCTCCGAGGGATCAGACCAAAGCAGGTCACACACTGGCCCAAAGGCTGGAGGTTCAGTAAACCTGTCTAACTGGAAGACATGATCAGGAAAACAAAAGGGCTCTTAGAAGCAGTTAGGTCAAAACCCCTTTCCCCCTGTAGCAATGCATTGGGAGAAAACATAGTAAGCCCTCAAAGGGCTTTCCTGCAAAAAATGAACATTTGAACAATTTGGATACACAACGTTTATTATTTCCTGCAGCAAAAGTTCATAGAAATTCTGTCACTTAGTTATACCATTGAAAGGACTTCGCTTCCTTGGGCTGGGGGTATGTGTGGGGCTCAGTGTACATGCTTGCCTAGCACACACAGGCCCTGGGTTTGATTCTTAGCACCTTAAGAAGAAAGGAAGGTGGAAAAGGACATCCTCCCACTCCAATCTAAAAGCAGTGCTCATTCAATCTGAATGTGAAATCAGTCACTAGAGGGACACTATTTCAGGAAAACTATGAGAGGTAATTTCTCTCGCCTGTGGGGACCAATGTTACCAGGAGAGCAGGATGGTTTTACAATGCTTTTGTTCACTGCTTACTTTATTCCAATGGACAGCTATTTAAAAGAATGCTAGCTTAATTTTGTACAGGATTTTCATTTTTTCCATTCTATGCAGTACAGGCATTTTAGTAGCAATTATTAACTTAGGTTTTTCGTCACTACTGCTTTAGTTACAAGCACAAAGATGAAAAGAATACAAGTAACTAGAATAGCTCAGGGCCAAGAAGAGGGCTTCTGCTAAGTGAAAGAGGAGCTATTTATTAATACAATTGAGAATTATGAAATCCAAAATTTGCTGTATAAAAGCGAAAGACTAGTTATCGAAGACAGTAAGGCAACAGAAAAGCCAGTGCATACAGGTTCACACCCTTACGCTTGGAAGACTGTCTTTATTTTTGTTTTTTTGAGCCAGGGCCTCACTATGTAATTCAGGCTGGCCTTGAACTCATGCTGATCCTCCTGCCTCAGCTTCCTGAGTGAGGGGTTGTAGGCCTGCACCACCACACTGACTTACTTAAACTCAGAGAAAATAGTTTTATGAACACATAAATCTTTAGTTTTAGTAACTACATCAGAGAACTAAGGTAGAGAAGAAGGTCATGCAGAACAAAGGTTGGTCCTCTTTTTTCAATGAAGATAAAGTCTTTGAAATAATCACCATGTAAGGCAAGTGCAACAGTTAAACTTTATCATCTAAAATGTCAAAGTCAATGAACTTCAGAGCTGGCAGAGTCCTCATACCATCCCTTCCAACTTTCTCATTTCACAAAGAAAACGTTCTAGGAAGTCAAGTGATCTCGTCGAGGATTAAGATTAGAGCCCTGGTTTTGTTCCTTCCATATTCTGACATAATTTAAAGTTTCAAATCAGGCAAGAAGGTACATGAGTGTAATCTCAGCTACTCAGGAGGCTAAGGAGAAAAAGGGGATCCTGGCAGGGTCAGTGAGACGCTGTCAAAATAAAAGGATCGCAGACAAGGTCAAGTGGTAGCGTACGCCCAAGTTCAATCCCGGGTGCAGGTGCTGGTGGCAGAATAACGGTTCACAGCTACAGCATAAGGATTTTATGCTTCTACTGGTAAAGGCACAGAATTCATTTTAAAACTGAAAGAAAATTCCTGGCAGACTTGTATCAGTGTAAACTGTATCTTGCAACAATGAGACCATCGGTAATTTCTGTTTCCTGACTTTTGATAATCTGTATTTTAAAAATTTTAGCTTAATATACAGCTATTGGCTGTGATAAGAAAATGACATTTTGAAATAGATCTACGAGATTACTTACTTTTCTAATGTCATCTAAACAAGTGATTTCAGGTGACATTCCTCCATGTACACAGAGAAACTGCTGGTTTAAGAGGGCAGCAAGAGGAAGACAGTCAAATGTGTCCATACATGCCTCATATACCCGCTCCGAATATTTGATTAGACCTACCAAAAACAGGAAAAAGTTGAGGGAAAAAAGCTATAATATATGAAAAAGGCTATAACCCAGAAGAGTATGAAGCTATTTCAAAGTTATTTATTTATTTCAGGCGAATTTGAAAGCACAATCATCTTTGTAAAGATATTTTTGAAAAGTTATAAAGGTTAAACAAACCTCTCCCTCTCTAAAGACAAGTATGACTTTGGATTAACTTTCCAGCTTTGTTGCCCCGCAAATCTGGAAGGTGACTGTCAGCTGTCTCATCAGGCAACAATGCTTATGGTAAAAATTACCCCCTCACCTGGCAAGAGACTGTATCTTTGGGCTCCTTTGAGGACAGTGACTCATAAGTCAGGATGTCCCTTTTGGGACTCTGGAAGCTCTGCCAATAAAGCTTTTACAGGAGCTATTGGCACTTGTGATATATGGGCCTCTAAGTCAGAGTGGTTCCCTGCCCTGCCCAGGGTGGATACTGCTTCAGTACCCCTGACCTGTGACTTGGGAAGGGAAACAGAGCAAAAAGCTGTACACACCCTCACAAGGACTACACCACTGAAAAGCAAGACCTATATCCTTCAAAGCAGATAGAGATAGGTGTGGTCTAGGGTAGTCCTGTGAGTCCAAGTATCTCACCTAGTCTTAAAACATTCCTTGAAGGTGATAAACATATTTAATTTGAAACTGGAGATTTAAGAGACATCAATAAAATAATAATAATCTTTTTGCTCATGATTTTAAAATTCTATAAATAAACTCTGTCCTGACTCAATTTTATACAAAAATGTTCGGCTTAATGAATTGTAGTTTGATGTAGTTGTCAAGTTGGGGTTACAGAACAAGGAAACACTGCAGCGGGCAGAAGATGAGGGCTCTACAATTCTCCAAGAACGAAGGGCCAGGAAATAATAGGTGGGAAACTGGAAGGTGGGCTTTCACTAAAAGAGAAAAGGAACGTTTTCTCTCCTCGGATGCTGCTCTCGGATGTCACGAGTGTGTCGTAGCGCCCGTGCGCTGAAAGGCTAGGCTCCAGGGAGGGGACACCAGGAGGTGGAGCCCAGGGGGAAGCCCGCGTGGGTTGCCTCGGAAGGAATGAATGCCATTCTCCCAGACTCTGGCTAGTGAAGGTTAGGGGGTGTTATGAAAAGAACAGGGGCCAGGAATTTAGCTCAGTGGTTCCAGTGCCTGCCTTGCAAGAGCAAGGGCCCGAGTTCAATCCCCGGTACCCGCTCCCCACCCCCACCCCCCGCCGCCAAAAAAGAACAAGACTGGCCCTTCCACCCTCCGACTCTGTCTCACCAGGTGATCTATCTTTAGCAAGTGCTCCCACTATGATGGCATCGGCTACGAGGTTCTCACCAATGCAGAGCTAATGCTGGCCCCTGCCCTTGAACCTCCAGAAGTGTGGACTAAGCATACCTCTTTTCTTTACAAAGTATCCACTCTTGATGGGTGTGGTAGCTCATGCCTGTAATCCTAGCAGCAGGAGGCTGAGGCAGGAGGATGCCTGAATTCAAGGCCAGCATGGGCTACATAGTGAGACATTGTCTCAAAAAAAAGAGTACCCACCCTCAAGTGCTTACAGCCTACTGTAACCCCACACTCGAGTATTTTGCTATAGTAACTGAAAACAGATTATATACTTTACACTTGGTTTTCAAAGTCAATGTGTGTCTGAGGGTGAGTGTTGGCAAAGGTAGCCGGAAGTCCTACAGTCAGGTAGCGCTAGGTACCGTGAGCTCTTCTGCTTCCAAGATAAGATGGCCTACAGTCCAGGAGAATAGAGCTGCATCTACTGAATAGGATTATCCCGATGGTAACGATTTCTGCATTTGTTTCCTTTTTTAAATCTCCAAGATTTTCTTTTATTCATTTTGAACACTGGATTTATGGACTGTTTCTGGGTCTACTCTAACACCAGGTCGATGCATGAAGTGGATGGAGCAAGCTCCTATTCCATCGCCCTGCCCCAGAAGTCCACTTAGTAGATTGTCCTTGGCCAGAGGTCGCATCAGACATTAAGCTGATAAAAACAAATACTGTACTGCCCTTGCTCTTAGTCAAAAGGCCGAGAAGCAGCCCCTCCGAGCTTTTAGAAAAGACATCGCAGTGTCAGAGCCTGGCCTTGGCAAGGAAGAGGGGTCCAGATTTGGACCAGAGTGCAGTACCTGGGTGGTGGGAATCATCAGAGAGGTCCCTAAGGGGAAGTGTAAACGAGGGAGTCACAGTTGAGGTTATGTGATCCCCCACTGTGGGATGTGAAGGGTTTCTCTTTACAGCCAAAACGGAATGATCCCTTTAAGATAAATCCCATAAAACATTTCTATAATGAAGGAAAAATGCATCACAGCCATTAGATCACAAGAATACAAGTTCGAAGTAGCACCAATAATTTAGCATCAAAAATTTTAAACAAAATTCTTTGGAAGCAAGTTGAGAGTCAGCACTATTGCAAGAAACTCCAACCTGGTCTAGCCACTGATCACACGTTTATTTTAATTTTTACTTGATTTCACTTTTTAAAGAGACAGGAGATATATTTAGATGGTCCAAAATTTAAAAGTGACAAAAGGATCTATACTTCCTATCCTCTGTGGGCAAGCAGTGTTAGGTTTCGTGGGTGTCTCTGCAAAGATATTCTAGCACATATATGCAAATGTGTACATCAATTCTCCCCACAGCAGCTTTTGGTTTTCTCCATAAATGGTAACATACATACCTTGCTCTGATCTTGCTTTTAGTACCTATGAACATATTCTGGAGATCAAGCCACATCTTCATATGAAGAATGAAGAGGTTAAGAATATACTACCTTTAAATATGCTACTCTGGCACACTGACTATTTGGGGTTAAAAGAACCTGAAAGACAGCAGGTGAAGAAGATCACTCTGACTTTCATGCTGTTTCTTAATAGCAGGAGATGAAATTCCCATGTTAAAGATGCCCTCCCTATACCAGAAGGAAAATAACAATGTTATTGTCCAGGATGGGAAGTTGAGGCCCAACAAATTCTGTACAGATATCATTTAAATCATACTTACTGGACTGGGAATGTAGCTCAGCATCGCAAAATATTTTTTGAAATTTAAGAAACCCTTCCCCATATGATTTAATTTTTCACAATTTATTATTCTTTACCCAATTCAGCACACACCTGAGTATTCAACTCATACAAGGGCTCGTGTGTAATGCAAAGCGTACATTAAGTATGTGTATGTGCTTTTCTACTATTGATCTGTCTTATCTGTCAATTTAATTCCCAGACCTGGCTGAAAAGAAACAGAGTAAAGGTAAATGAGGTGCTCAGTAATTATTGACATCTATGTAGCAGGTCGCTTTCGAGTATACCACAGTCTCACCAAACCTAGACGGATGCTTTTTGTCAGTACTGAGGATCGAGTGTCCTAGCCAGTGACACACTATCACTGTATCCCAGCCCTATTTATTTGTTCATTTATTTTTTAGTTTAGTTCAGATTTTGGTACCGGGGATCGAAAAAAAAAAAGGTCATACAAACAAGAAATTAGTGTATTTAAAAAACTCAGACCCAGAACTATGAGGGAAAATCATAAAAACACTAGGTTTCTTGCTTTCCAAATACATAAAAATAAAGAAATATTTCAGCAACAAAAAGTGATGTGTGAAACATTAACTGTCAAACTTTTTAAACTCCAGATTTCAGCTAAATCTTCTTAAAATCTCCACTAGTACAAAGCAATTAAGAATTGAAAGGAGAGAAGAAAAGCCTCTTCTCTCACCCCTTAAAAACATTAATAAGATTGTAGCTGTACAATCTGTAATTAAACATCACTTAGTAATTATAAGGCATTGATTCTAAAAGCCACAGAGGCACTTTGAAAGGTCAGTTGATCAGTAAAAATACCCATGCAAAATGCACATGTGCTCTTTCTTAATACAGAACTAAAATTTTAAATTTGTATTTCAATTTGTATGCTTGTTCCAAGAAATAAATCTTGGAATTTCAGATGCAGCATTAGAATGAAACACGAGTATTTTGGTACACAGAAGAAAAAGAAAGCAACCAGATTAAAAGTACAGTTAAAGCACATGGAAAGTAAATAAAAACCTAAGATAAAAAATTCTGTGCAAAAGGAGATACTTAAAGTATTTCCTGAACCTATTGTTCCATCTTCTAAAAATAGTTTCAACCAATTTTGCTTGTCAAAAAGAACTGAGTTCAATTCCTACCACAAAAAAGAATCCCCCCACACACAAAAAAACTCTGATAAAACAGAGGGAGAATTAGATTAAATATCACTTTAAAAACCTGAAGCTGGGCTGGGGCTTTAGCTCAGTGATTCTGCTACCTACCTTGCAAGTGCAAGGACCTGAGTTTGATCCCTGGTACCACCCCCGCCCCAAAGAAAAACAAAAAACAAAAACCTGAAGCTTAGCTTAGCCAGCAAGGTAGCACAGCCCACAGTCCTAGCTACTCAAGGCTGAGGTGGCAGGATCATGGGAGCCCAGGAGATAGAGGCCAACATCATGATACTCTGTTTCAAAAAACAAAAAAAACCCTGAATCTTAATTCAGAGAGTTAAAGAATAGCTTAAAAAGGTTCAGGAAAAGGAATTATACTTACATTCCTGTTTGAAGGTAAAGTATTCTGTAAGATGCCTGCATTCATGATTTCCTCGAAGCAGAAATAATGTTTTGGGATGAATAATCTTTAAACTCCATAAAAACAGCACACACTACAAGAAAAATTCAAGGATAAAATTTGTGACCATGATATACATGAAGACAATTTATATAAATTCAACTGATTTGCTAAAATGCCATATCTCACTGCTACTCCCAAGGTGAGTGATGTTGTCAGAGAGTCCTCGAAACCTGTATATATAATTATTTTATAATGGAAAGACACTAAATATTTCCAGTAAGAAATGGAACAAGGCGAGGATATCAACTCCCTGCTACTATTTAGCAAGGTTATTTAGCAGCGTTATTAGCCAATGAAGTTAGACAAAGGATCTTTTAAGAATAGGAAAAGAGAGCCAGGCGTGGTGGCACATGCCTGTAATCCTAGCACTCAGGAGGCTGAGACAGGAGGATTGCTGTGAGTTCAAGACCAGCCTGGGATACATAGTGAGTTCTAGGGCAGTCTGAACTACTTAGTGAGACCCTGTCTCAAAAAAAAAAAGATTTTGCTGAGACAGAAATGTGCCCTTGGCTGGCACTTGGACTATCCGGCGTGGTGGTGCACACCTGTAATCCTAGTACTTGGGTGGCTGAGGCAGGAGGCTTGCTCACTGTGAGTTCCAGACCAGCCCGGGCTAAATAGTAAGTTCCAAGTCAGACTCAACTACATAGTGAGACTGTCTCAAAAAAAAAAAAAAAAAAAAAAAAAAAAAAAAATATATATTGTTATAACAGTGTATCTGAAAAACAAACCCAGAAAAAAATCAGTGATAAAAATTACCCTATATAAGAATTCAATAAAATAACACAGTATAAAATTAACATGTAAAATAAATAATCTTTTCTTCTTTGTAGTGCTAGGAATCAAGCCCAGGGCCTCACACACATTAGACAAATTCTCTACCATGATCTGTATCATCAGCCCTGAATAACTTTTTATATACAAACAGCAAACAGGACACCATGGTAGAGAAACCTTCACTTGTAATGGCAACAAAAAAAGCCTAAATACATAGGAATAACTTTTACAAGAAAAGTACAAAATCTATATAGGAAATTTTTATTTTTGTTGTTGTTTTTGTTTGGTTTTTGGGTTTGGTTTTTTTTTTTTGTTTTTTTGTTTTTTTGGTACCAAGGATCAAACTCGGGCCCTTGCACTTCAGGAAAATTTTAAAACACTCCCAAAGATACAAGTACACATCCAGTGTTCTTGGACAGGACAACTCAACACTGAAAGACTACAGTTCTCAGTGCTGGAAATATAGCTTAGTGCAGAGCACTTGCCGATAGTGCCTCAGACCCAGGCCCAATCCCTAGCACATAAAAACAGTTAGCCCTCCATAATTTAATTTATACAATCGCTTCAACTCCAGTACTAGCCAGGTGCGGTGTCGCACTCTTGAAATCCCAACACTCTGGGAGACCGAGGCAAGAAGAGCCCAAGTTCAAGCTCAGCCTGGGCAATTTAGTGAGACTCCATCTCACAATAAAAAATAAAACAGATGGGATGATATAGCTCACAGTAGAGCACTCTGGGCCCAATCCCGAGGAGCACAGAGAAAAAAAAATCCCATGATGAAAACTTTCCCTTCAATCCTTTCTTTTCTTGTACAGTCAATAAAGAAAACTAAAATATAGCTTCTCCTACCATGAAGGAAGCACTTTAGCTACAAATGAGGAAGGAACATCAAAAGACTCAAAGAAAAGTGAATCTTTACAATTCTGTTTTATCAGTGACATGTGGATCAATCCTTGGTGTATTAATCAAAGCCCACATTGCTCAGGAAAGATCAGTGCCTGCTCTGGGCTGAAAAAGACATTTATCATGCTTTGATTCTCATATATAGGCTCTAATAAAACTATTAGGTATATAAAGAAGATATAAGTGAAATAACATTTTGCGAAAATTAGCAATATATAGCAAAAGTCTTAAAAATGTTCTATTCTGATCTGGTTATTTCACTTATAAAAATGTGAAGTACCAGACACACTATCAAAGATATTTTAAAAGATGTCAACTTCAATATACAGAACAGGAATTATTGGTTTTGTTTTTATTTTTTGAGGCAAGGTCTCACTCTGTACTCCAGGCTGACCCTGAATTCACTATATAGCCACCCAGGCTGGCCTGGAACTTGTAGCTATCCTCCTGCCTCAGCCTTGCAAGTGCTGGGATTACAGGTGTGTGCCACCACACCTGGCAGAAAAGGAATAACTGGAAAGCAACCTTATACCACTTACAGTGCAAGTGATACAAAATCTAATGAAATGTTATATGCAAATCATAAATTCAGGGCCTGGTACTTACAGCTCAGTGGCACTGCACCTGCCTTGCAAGCCCAAGGTCCTGAGTTCAATCCCGGGTACCCCCCTAAAAAAAAGTCATAAATCCACTGAAATATCACCTAAAACAAGAAGTCTAGAGATAAAATGTCCAGGTTTACAGGACTGGCTCAACATGGTTCCCAGAAAACTAGGCTCTCTCTACCTCTTTGATTTGGGATTCACAGCAGATCTGTTTGGTTTTTTTCTGTTGTTTTTTTTTTCCCCCCTAGTTCTGGCATCAAATCTAAGACCATGTCATGCATGGTAGGCAGATCTGCTTCTCATCCTTAGTCATGTCACCTCACGATCACTGAATGGCTGCTATAGAACACATGAAGACATCCATAAGATTTCACCTTGAAATAGCCTTTTCATCCAGAAAAGAAAATGTTCCAAAAACAAACAAAATAACACCCAACAGAGTTGGTCACATGTTAGTAGGTAAATGAGGATCTCATGTTTACTCCCAAAGCAATCACACATGACCAGAAAAGGAGTTGCTTTAACTAGTTCAGACCACTCAGAATTCATGCCTAGGGCTGGGATAAAGGCCATCCTTCCTAAGATCAAGGGTTCTCCCTGCAACCCAAATCCTATTTGTCTGGAATAAAATAAGGATTTTGCTAGGCAAGAGGAAGGGAAAAAGTAGGAATAAGTAATACTTGCTATAAACCTAGTCACCTAAAAAGAGAGGAATGGTAAGATAAATTACAGCATTTGCTCCACTACACTATTGGAGAAAATTTAACAGTAGAGAAAAATGAATTTAACACAGTATTTAGCGAGAAAAAATACAGAAAGAAATACAAATCACTCAGTGTGGTGAACATGCCTGTAATCTCAGTACTTGGGGGGCTGGAACAGGAGGATCATGGCGAGTCTGAGGTGAGCCCAGGCAACATGCAGCTCAAGGTCAGCCTGAACTACACAGTGACAGCTTGTCTCAGAACCCACCCCCAAAAGAAAACCACAAAGTGATTCCAATTTTCTTTAAATACAAAATATATACAAATATAAAAAAAAGCAAAAAGACTACAAAAAAACCAAAATGTCAGGGCTGGGAGTGTAGCTCAGTGGTAGAGCACTCGGCTAGCACAAAGTCCTGGTTCAATCTCTAGCACCACAAAGCTAAATAAATAAAATGTCAACAGTGACTACCTCTGACTTATAGAAAGTCTTCTTTTTCTTGGATTCTGCATTTCCCAATTTTTCTTAAAAAAAAAGAGAACCATTTATAACAAACAATTTTGTTTGTTTATTTTTTTTGTACCGGGAAAGAAATTCAGGACCTTGTGCTTGCAAGGCAGGCAGTGGAACCACTGCGCTACATCCCGGCCCTTATAACAATTCTATTAGGAATTCCATTACTTTATTGTCATCTAGTTGACAAAAACACCACATTTATGGTCACCAAAAACATCAGTTTAAAAATCACCTTTCATGCATATACTTGTATCACGTTAAGACTAATCTGTGGCCTACAGAAATTTTATATCTTTAGTGACTTATAAAATCATGCCATTTCTGGGCTGAGGATTTAGCTCAGTGGTTCCGCCACCTGCCTCGGAAGTGCAAGATCCTGAGTTTGATCCCAGTACAAAAAAAAGCCATTTTTAAGACTAAATACATCACACAATTAAGTTTTAAAACTTGTATAAAATAGTATTGCTACCTTAAAGTTCCAATTATCTCTTAAATTATTCCAGAAAACCTCTTCAAGTTAGCAAGCATCAAGTAAAAGAATAAAACCAAATATAAACCATGACTTATTCATTCATTTAAAAATACTGTCTACAAAGCACTATGCCAGAAGTCAATAGTGTTGATAATTTAGCACTTTTCATATTATACTGAAAGATCCTATACATACTAGCTTGTCAGAACATAATTCTTTTTTTTTTTTTTTTTTTTAATCTTGAGACAACTTGCTATATTGCCCAGCCTGGGCTCAAATTTGCAATCCTCCTGCCTGAGACTCCCAGAGTGCTGGGATTACAGACATGTTACCATACCCCACTAAATCTTATTCTTTATTTTATTCTATTCCCATATGTCCTGCCATTAAGTTAGCACTCCAGAAATTTTGTTGATAAGAAAACAATGCAGTATTCCCAATACAGCATATGCATATAAAATTAATTGTGGATTTGAAATGTGTACTTTATTGAATGTATTGATAAATTTAAACTCTTTCTAGGAGCTGAAGCCAGGCATGGTGGCCCAAAACTGAAGTCTCAGCTACTTGAAAGGCTGAGGCAGGATTGCTTGTACCCAAGAGTTTGAGACCACTCTGGACAACACAGCAAGACCTTACCTCAGGAAAAACAAAATAAAACACAAACTTAAAGGCTGGGGAGAGACAGATCAGTGGTAGAATATGTGCTTAGCATGGGAAAGACACTGGGTTTAATTCCCCAGCATGCACACATGCACGCACGCGCGCACACACACACACACACACACACAACTACTGTATTTTAAAATTATACAAATAAATAAGATAATTTATGATCATTATGCTTTCAAAGTTGGTTCATTAAATAACTAAAAATTCAGTAAGTTCTGTATTCTCCCTTCAGCCTCTGAAACTTCCTCATGATAGCAAACACACAAGAAATAAATTTTCAGCCAGGCATGGTAGCTCCCCCCTGTAATCCCAGCACTTGGAAGGCTGAGGCAGGAGGATTGCTATGAGTTCAAGGCCAGCCTGAAGTACACAGCAAGACCCTATCTCAAAAATTTTTTTTTTCATTGTGTCTTTTAAACTGCATACTTTTGATTACTTGTCAATTGAAACATAATGGGAAGAGCGGCCGAATGCTTTCGATGATCCAGTCTGCAAGGATAAACTTTACCCATGCCCAGTACCTGTATGAGGCTGTGGACATTGGCTGAACAGCAGGAAAATGTGCAGTGGGGAAGAGGGACATACTTCTTAGTTTATACCATTAACTTCTGTCCTCACATTTTGCACAAAATGAAATTTATGCACTGGCAGATAAAACTGAACTTTTTTTTTGAGGCAGTCTCACAATGTAGTTCAGACTCCCTGGAACTCACTATGTAGCCCAGGCTGGTCTCAAACTCACAGTGATCCTCCTGCCTCAGCCTCCTGAGTGCTGGGATTGCAGGTGTGCGCCACCACGCCTGGCAAAAATGAACTTTTTGATTCATGAATTCAGTTTTCTTATCAGACAAAAGAGAAAAATCTTTATTTTTCCTGCTGCTTCAGAACAGCTGATGCTCCTTTGAGAATCGATGAGGCACAAGATCTGTATTTAGTGGTGATGCTACAGGAACAAGAAAGCTTGCACCACCAGGAACACAATGCAGTGAGATGTGGTAGGAATAAGGCAGCAAAAACAGCAAGCAGCCCCAATTTCCTATCTCATGTGTATGGGGCACATTTCAAATTCGATTACCCTCACTGTCTCAAAAGTTTCTCAACTTTTATTTGCCAACCATGTGGAGCTGAATCAATGGTCATTAAATATGAATGTGCTGCGGTCCCACAGTACTCAAGTCCTTGCATTAAGTCCTAAAACAGTTTTATCTTTTTTACAGATAAAAGCTTATATTTGCTTTTAATGTTAACCATGTTCCTAACAATCAATTCTCAAACTATGTAAAGATAAACTGTATGTTTTCATTAACGGTAATTCATTTTTTTTCTCTTCAGCAAATATTTTTTAGTAATGTGTAACAGTACCAGAAATTATTCCTACAATAAGACAAATGCCTGCTGATCTACCACTGGCAGTTAATCTAAAGTTAATTGTAGTTCAGCAGCTTATAGCTTTACAGTTAAGGTCAGCTAATCCAAACAGTGTCTAGGGCGAAAAGCAATTTATGTCTTTATATACAGCCTGTATAGAATCTTGAAAAAAGAAAGGTTAATACACATTTAGCTCATTTTTAAAACTGGGTGAATATAGCCTTCTACACGCCAGATTTGCTACTGCTTTAAAAAAAAAAAAGAGTTGTTTTTTTTTATATTAGGTAAAACATTTCTCTACTGCTGTAACTTTTTTTTTTGAGTACAGAAATCAAACTCTGGACCTTGCATTTGCCAGGCAGGTGTGGTGCCCCTGAGCTACATTGCTGGCTGCTTTGATTATTAAAAGTAACAAAGTTTATAAATTCTACCAGTGTTCGCAAGTTAATTTCCTCTAGAGAATGGGGAGCAAATCTTTTTTTTTAAAGGCGAATGACAGGTCCAACATTATCCAGGTTAATTTTTACCTCTATACTGAAGTATCCTCTGTCCACATAGTCTCCCAGAAAGAGGTAGCGTGTGCAATTAGGTGGTCCCCCAACTTCAAACAGCTTCATCAGGTCAAAGAATTGTCCATGGATATCACCGCACACTAGGCAAAAAAGACATGATGTTAGGGAAAAAGTACGTCTTAGAAAAAAAGGCCTCACATCAGCAAGAATCATAGCTTAACTTTGCATGTAAATCGTGTTGGCTTTTGACTGGACTGCACAGAATTATAGATGATCTGTGGGCACTGACACAGGTCCTACTGGAAACATGAGACATTTAAAATTACATTTTTTCAAGGAATGAAAAACATCTTAGCCAGCCATAAGACTGTTTCAAAATTCGCAGAAAAATGATCACACTGCATTTGAGTTGGTTATTTATAATGAACTCTCAAAATCAGCTCACGTCGAAGGGCCACCACGTAAGTACTTTACACACCTGTGACTGGCGCCCCCACTTCTATCATAGTGTTCTCTTGTCTCAGGATGGCAGCCCCATCACTGATTATCTTTAAGGCCACTTCCTCTTCCAGTCGGCCTTCCTTCACCAAGTGGTTTTTCAAAACATCAATTCTGGGTTTCCCATTCTCGAATACTTCCTTCAAAGTAAGACGGTGGGTTGGAGGAAAAGGGACAGCTAGGAAGAGAAAACATAATTTAAAACACTTAACCGTGTTGGTAACAATCACGAACATACTTCTTGTATGTGACAAGTTGAACCTAATAAATCACCATAATTTCATAGCCATAGCACTAGAATTATGTGAGGAAAAATTCTACTATACTGTGTATCATGAGTAATCGGCTCTAATGTTTGAAACAGTCACCGCTAAAGTCAAAGTCATTTTATAAATATGTATATGTATAAATTATAATGTTTTATATGTAAACATGAAAGACTTGAAACAGACTCAGGGAACAATCTTAAAGTGAGATAAAGTACCGAAAAATGACACATCTTTATCTTTCCATGGAAAAGGTATTAACAATAAAATTGTGGGGTTAGGAGTTTAGCTTGGTGGTTGGGTGCTTGCCTAGCATGCAGGCCTTGGGTTTGCTCTCCAGCACTGGAAAAGAAAGGGGGGAGGCAGGCAAGAAGGGAGGGAGGGGGGAGGGAGGGAAAGAGGAGAAGAAACTGTTACTAAAGAAAATAAAAATAACAAAAATGGGACACAGTAGTCCAAACCTGCAATCCCAGCTGTGTGAAAGGCTGAGACAGGAGAACCACAAAGTCAAGACCAGCCTGGGTAATTTAGCAAGTCCCTGTCTCCAAATAAAATCTAAAAATGGCCAGGGGCCCAGCACAGTGGTGCACTCCTGTACCCACAGCACTTGGGAGGCTGAAGCAGGAGGATTGCCATGAGTTTGAGGCCAGCCTGCACTACACAGCAAGAACCTGTCTCACTAAATAAATCTGAATAAATAAAATTAAAAGGGCTGGGGATCTAGCTAGTGATATACTGCTTGCCTAGCATACACAAGGCCTCAGGTTCAATCCCCAGTACTATGAAATCATCATCACCATCTTTCCTCCGGTACTATCAGTTGTAATTAGAGAACAGGTTCCAAAGTAAGAAACTCATCTTCCTTATACATTATAAAAGTAATGTAAGTAGAGGTGGCAACCTAAAAAGCGCTAGAAGAAATAATTCAGAGTGCTCCCCCTCCCCTCAGGTTCTTCAGTTGCAATTTATTTAAGGTGGCAGAACCACTGAGCCAAATTCCCGGCCCGTGCAACTTATTTAAAATAAAACAAGTCAACAAGTCAGCTAGTTAAATGAAAGCAAAAGCAAGGTGGAATGGATCAAGGAGGTTATGTTCAAGTAAGAGAAATGAGAACACAGGAGCCAGGTATCTAAGAGGAATTAGGGAGGAGCAAGAGCCAAGGAAGAGGAACAACATGTAACAGAGGTTCCAAGGGCCCTAAGTTTTTAGGTTAGGGCAGACCATAAAAGCAATACCCTCCAAACCAGAGAAAAACAATCTCCTGTTTTATTATTTATGTATTTATTGCAGTACTGGAGATTGAACCCAGAACTCCAGAACCTTCGCACTGAGCTATATATTTCCAGCCCTTCTGATTTTATATTTTGAGACAGAGTATCACTAAGTTATCAAGTTTCCCAGGCTGGGCTTGAACTTGTGATCCTCCTGCCTCAGCCTATTGGAGTGCTGGGACTATAGGCCAGCCACCACCCCTGGCTACAATCTCCAATTTAAAGGAGCAGGTCTCACCTCGCTCTAGTGAGTCACAGCTATGTTAGAAAGCCCTGATTTCTGTCTTCCTCCTTCTACATGATAGTTGTATACACTAGAATTGAGGTTGGTTGGTAGTATTGTGGTAGTACACCTTGGTTTGCCAACTGGATATTCCAAGTTTACAGCTTTTTGTCCTGATATAATTCATAGTCCCCCCTTTCTATCAAGTATCATGAGTTAAGAAAACCGGGGTGGTGGTTCATGCCTATAATTAGAACTATTAGAGAGGCTGAGACAGGAGGATCACATGAAAACTTTAGCAAACTTGTCTCAAAATAAAATTTTTTAAAAATGACTGGGGCATGGTGGCTCATTTCTGTAATCCCAGCATTCTTGGGAGGTTTAGGAAGGAAGACTGCCAATTTGAGCCCAGATGGGTAATTCAGCAACTTAGCAAAACCCTGACTCAAAAGAAAAAATGAAAAATGTCAGGGCATGTACCTCGCTACTAAGGCTTTCAGTTCAATCCCCAACACCAAAAAAAGAAAAGAAAAGAAATTAAGCAAGAAAATGGTTAACGGAATTCTAAGTAAAAACACAACTTATCTAGGAAAATCAGCAACTTCATCCATCAATCATCAGTTATTAGTTTTCCCCTACTTTCTACTGTTCAAACCCAAAATATTAAGTAAGCAGTGTAGCTTCAGAGCCCCTGAATTATCATATTCCTGGATAAATGACATGGTTTACAGCCCTTCTTCTGGTTCGTTGTTTGTAAGGGCTGTGGTTTATCAAATCACAGAACTACATTAAAGATGAAGGAAGACCTGTCCCACTCAAGTAACCATGTGTCATAATCAAGGCAGCACTGGCTTGACCGCTGTTTCATTTCATTAAATCCCCCGCTCAAGTGCTACCTCTCCAAAGATCTCCTCCCTAACCATTTACCTAAACACATCAAAAACCTCTTCGCCAGTGTCCAGTAGAAACAGTTCAGTTCTTTGAAGTACTTATTCACATAAATACTTACAGACTATACACATAGACTTTGTTGAGACACTAACCTGAGCCTGGTAAAAATGCTTGGTTGGTTGATTTTTTGAGACAGGGTCTCCCTAGCTAGTGCAGGCTGGCCTTGAATTCACTATGTATCCCAGGCTGGTCTCAAACTCATGAGAATCCAAGACTCAGTCCTCTGGAGTGCTGGGATTACAGGGGCACACCACCAAGCCCAGCCCAAAACTGGTGAATTCTACTACCAAATGTTCATTTTCGACAAAGCAGACTCCTGTTCAACCTTTCACCCTAAAGTTCTTTGCTACCCAAAGTGTAAACTGAGGATCACCAGCATCAGGAAGCTTGTCAAAAACGCACAATATCTGGCCCTAGCTCAGACCTCCTGAAAGCAAACTCAGTACTTTAATAAGACCCTGAGATGCACATTCATGTGTAAGAAACACTATTCTAATTCACTGATTCTTTCTTTGTTTTGGTAACAGGCATCGAACTCAGGACTTTGAGCTTGTGAGGCAGGCACGGTGCCACTGGGCTAAATCCCTGGCCCTCTAATTCACTGATTCTTAACCCTAATGGCACATTAGAATTACCTAGGATGCTTCTGAAAATACAATGTCCTCCTTTCATTTTCAAAAATTCTGATCCAACTGGTTTTTAAATTGGTGATCAGAAATTGGTATTTTCAGAAATCTTTCCAGGAAATCCTAATACAGACTGAGCACCACTGCTCTAACTTAATCATGATAAATACAGCTTTCCCCTTGATTTCATATCATTCTCAACTCATATTTTTCTCAACTCTTCTTTCTTTAACTCTGGAGCTGCACAGCCTAGTAAAGCAGTCACTTGCCATAGTTATACTGCAAGTTTTTTCAGCACTAGGGATTTAATCCAAGGCCATGTGCGTGTTAGGCAAGTACCCTGCCAATTAGCTATACCCCCAGCTATTTGAATATCTATTTTTTGGACTTCCTTATTCAAATTGTTGGCTATTTAAAACATTTAAGCCAGGTGTGATGAACTATAATTCTAGCACTAGGAGACTGAGGCAGGAAGATCACATGTGCAAGGACAGCCTAGGCTACATAGCAAGTTCAAGACTGACCTGCACTATACACAGAGAACCTTTTCTCAAAAAAAAAAAAAAAGTTTTAGAAAAAAAATTTTAATAAAAAAACACAAACTAAAAACAAGTTCATTGTTTAATATTTTTCATTGAATGGTAAATATTCTTACATATTCTGGGTAGGTGTCCTTTATTAGATATATATTTTTACTATTAATCATCTTTATTTACATAAGAATACCATTTTATGGGTTTTGACAATCAGAACTGGCTGCATAACAATTTCTTAAACTTTCTTTTTAAAAATATAGATACTAGCCAGGGGTAGTAGCACACACCTATGATCCCAACACATGAGAGGCTGAGGCAGGAGGATCACTGTGCGTTTGAGACCAGCCTGGGCTACATAGTGAGTTCCAGGTCAGTCTCAACAACATAGTGAGACCCTGTCTCAAAAAAACATATATAGATAGATACTT